TCATTGTCATTATTCTGGGTCATGACTCAAATCAAGAACGATTTTCTATTTCATTTATACAGTCTCATATGTAATATGTATCTCAAATGTATTAAAGGTATCATGTGTTCTGGTTCATTTGTATTGTTTGATTTGTTTGTATTGTCTGTCTCATACTTTTTCTCATTTTTATTGTACGTCTTCTTTGAATTTTCTATCTGCTATTTTGAAAATGTAATTTGTTTTTCTGACGTGTTGTGTCTCATATGTTCTAAATCATTTGTTCCACATGTAAAGTTTGTATTGCTTGTATTAATTTTGTCTCATCTTATTTGTACTTTTTCAGGTATTACCTGATATAAATAGGTTTATTTTTACTGTCTTGTATGTTGTCTCATTTATATTGTGCCTTGTATTTATTCATTCATATTTCAACGTGACTTTACCGAAAAAGCTAAGAATATGAATATGGTACCATCTAGATAAGATGTTGGTCTTGTCAGGCATGATTCATAATAATTAATAACGAATAATAATTAATCATACTCTTTGGATCTTTCGGTAAAGTCACGTAGATAGAAATATAATCAATAAAAGTCACGACTTTTCGATCGCAGTTCTCCTGCTGTATTTTTTCACCTGAAGACGATTGCTTGTGTTGCGATCGAAAAGTCGTGATTTTTTTAATTATAATTTTTCTCTTCTTTGGTTCTTTCGGTAAAGTCACGTAGAATGAGAATAAAATAATAAATTGATAAAATAAAATAACACAATAATATTCTCACGACGTTTCGGCCACAACACAAGCGGCCTTCATCAGGTGAAGGGACGAGACTGTCTGGTAGGACAGCGCTGTCCTACCAGACAGTCTCGTAAAGTCCTACCAGACAGTCTCGTCCCTTCACCTGATGAAGGCCGCTTGTGTTGTGGCCGAAACGTCGTGAGAATATTATTGTTATTTTATTTTATCAATTTATTATTTTATTCTCATTCTACGTGACTTTACCGAAAGAACCAAAGAAGATGAACTCATGGCACTGTTCCATGACCTCCTGCCAACAGGCCTTGGACACTTCACGTAGCCTCAAAGTGCAGCTAGCATGCCACAAGCGCCATGGTAACATCACCACTACTTAGTGGTGAATGGCGGTTGTTGTTGTACAGGTCTGTGTGTGTGATGGTGCTGTAAAGCTGTGCGCTGTAAAACACCTTGAGAATTTCCAGGTCGTTAATCAAGCGCTGGTTGGTGGCGTGTAGCTCGCGAGTGCGGCCCTCGGCCTGTTCCAGCTGTGCCTCCAGCTCTGTCTCCAGCTCACGGCTACCAATGGTGAACTCCTCAAGCTCCTCCTGTGCAGCGATCCAACTGAATACATGAAGACACTCGCATGAGCTCAGCCTCATGCCACGGCAGCCTCAGGACAAACAAGCATGTTCAACCGAGTGGTGAGAGGCACCGTTAAATGTGTGCCCTTACCTTGCTTTGTATTTTAATGCATTTTGCTTCCAATAGCACAACTCCTCCTCCACGCTTGAAAACTCCACTTGTTCATCTTCATCCATGACTTAAGAGTGCAGTCACCCTTCACACCGCAGTGTGATGTGACAGCAAGCTTCTCTCTGCTGGCAGAAACCAGAGTTAGTTAAGCAATATATTTTTCACGCTCGTCTTAAAAGTAACAATCAAGACCACCCACCTCTAACGTAACAAGTGAGACGTTTCAATTATAGCAAGGACATCAGTCATAATCAGTCTGAAATTTTCCACCATTGCAATGGGTTTAAAATAGGCTTGCCGTGGTGAGGTAGGGGAAGGAAATCGGGACAGGGATGCGTACAGCTCAATCTGCAATCTGACACATTGCACTTTATACACATGGCTGCAGATAAACGTGCAAACCTTTCAACGCCTCATCAGTGACCTTATTACAGACCAATTCATACCTTATTGGTCACGCCGTGCCTTTATAAATCTCAACGTTCATCCTACAAAGCCCGTACTGAAACGGCTATACGCAGTATGGACATGAAAACTCAATTTCCCTGTACGAGAATACGGGTAAATCGTATTGGGATGACATGTATGAACGTGCCGAATAGAATATTTACAACAACAAAAAAGGTTTGTGGGGAGGAGTAAGGCATTCCTTCACAATCTGAATTTGCAGATGTAACCAATTTTGACGTCTCCCCCATATTGCCTCAATTGCGCTATACTGGGCGTGTCAAATATACTGTCTACGAGTCATGTACTGTATTGAACGGTGCGAGTGGAGAGAAATCACCACTCGTTACTGAATGTTTAATACTGAACCCCATCGATACCGGTACTCTTGCACGAAAAATCCCCTATGCGGTTCGAATCAACACGCAGACCCACCCTGGAAAACTGCACTAACGACGACGCAGCCCTTTCGTGCCTCATTCCTTCCTGGAGCTCTCCTTACTCTCAACCGCGCACATGACGAAGACACCTCACTCAGTTCTTCACATGAAGACACCTCAACTACCAGCAGCTCACATGATAAAACCTCACTACTAGCAGCTCACATGATGAAGACACCTCACTATCAGCAGCTCACATGATGAAGACACCACTATCAGCAGCTCGTATGATGAAGACACCTCACTATCAGCAGCTCACATGATGAAGACACCTCACTACCAGTAGCTCGCATGATGAAGACACCACTATCAGCAGCTCGTATGATGAAGACACCTCACTATCAGCAGCTCACATGATGAAGACACCTCACTACTAGCAGCTCACATGATGAAAACACCTCACTATCAGCAGCTCACATGATGAAGACACCTCAACTACCAGCAGCTCACATGATGAAGACACCTCACTACCAGCAGCTTACATGAAGACACCTCACTACTAGCAGCTCACATGATGAAGACACCTCACTATCAGCAGCTCACATGATGAAGACACCTCACTACCAGTAGCTCACATGATGAAGACACCTCACTACCAGCAGCTCACATGATGAAGACACCTCACTATCAGCAGCTCACATGATGAAAACACCTCACTACCAGCAGCTCACATGATGAAGACACCTCACTACCAGCAGCTCACATGATGAAGACACCTCACTATCAGCAGCTCACATGATGAAGACACCTCACTACCAGCAGCTCACATGAAGACACCTCACTACTAGCAGCTCACATGATGAAGACACCTCACTATCAGCAGCTCACATGATGAAGACACCTCACTATCAGCAGCTCACATGATGAAGACACCTCACTACCAGTAGCTCGCATGATGAAGACACCACTATCAGCAGCTCGTATGATGAAGACACCTCACTATCAGCAGCTCACATGATGAAGACACCTCACTACCAGTAGCTCGCATGATGAAGACACCACTACCAGCAGCTCATATGATGAAGACACCTCACTACTAGCAGCTCACATGATAAAGACACCTCACTACCAGCAGCTCACATGAAGACACCTCACTACCAGCAGCTCGCATAATGAAGACACCTCACTACCAGCAGCTCACATAATCAAAACACCTCACTATCAGCAGCTCACATGATGAAAACACCTCACTACCAGCAGCTCACATGATGAAGACACCTCACTACCAGCAGCTCACATGATGAAGACACCTCACTACCAGCAGCTCACATGATGAAAACACCTCACTATCAGCAGCTCACATGATGAAGACACCTCACTATCAGCAGCTCACATGATGAAGACACCTCACTACCAGCAGCTCACATGATGAAGACACCTCACTATCAGCAGCTCACATGATGAAAACACCTCACTACCAGCAGCTCACATGATGAAGACACCTCACTACCAGTAGCTCGCATGATGAAGACACCTCACTATCAGCAGCTCACATGATGAAAACACCTCACTACCAGCAGCTCACATGATGAAGACACCTCACTATCAGCAGCTCACATGATGAAGACACCTCACTACCAGCAGCTCACATGATGAAAACACCTCACTACCAGCAGCTCACATGATGAAGACACCTCACTACCAGTAGCTCGCATGATGAAGACACCTCACTACCAGCAGCTCATATGATGAAGACACACCTCACTCTCAACTCAACACACGGTTTCCTTATCACGTTAAAGCCCCTTCACGCGCAGTTCCTCACACGAAAGACAACTCGCTCCCGGCTCCTGCTCGCACGAAAGACAACTCGCTCCCGGCTCCTGCTCGCGGGAAGCTGGCGCGGCCGTCGCCGCTTGGCTCTCGGCTCGTCTCCGTCGGCTTCCCTCGCCCTTCACAGTCGGCCTCGCTACGCCACGGCGACGAGCCGCCTCGGTGATGTCACTTTTTGTATTTTTCAAAAGAACCGTTACCAAGGTGCCTCCCCCCCCTCTCTCCGTATCTCCTGCGGCAGATCACCGCGATATGAACCCAACAAAAACAGGAGCCAGGCTCGAAGCTGTAGCCTGAGGCCCGGGAGAACGAGAGGCAGGCGGGAGGGAGGGAAGGAGCCCCGGGGATTCACGATCCCCGGCCCAGGCCGCGATCCTCTCACCTCTCTGGGTGATCGCTCCCCGTGATGTCACGTGAAGCCGTGGCGCTACGCGCTTACGTAGTACGGCCGCTCGAGCAGTGCGTGATTACGTCACGCGCTTTTGGGCTGAACGTTCCTGCGTCCCGAAGCGCCGCTGGTGGCCTGTGCGTGATTACATCACGACGCACGCTGGTCGACTGTGCGTGATTACATCACGACGCACGCTGGTCGACTGTGCGTGATTACATCACGACGCACGCTGGTCGACTGTGCGTGATTACATCACGACGCACGCTTCCAGCGTGTGCGTGATTACGTCACGATGCGCGCCGGTGGCCTGTGCGTGATTACGTCACGACGCAAGCTGGGAGACTGTGCGTGATTACGCCACGCGCGCTGGTGGGACGTACGTGACGACACGCGGTTCGGTGAGGCTAACGCGGGCGCTTATTGGCTCCATGTGGCATCGTCGGGCAGCGTGGTGACGTCAAGAGACCGCGATTAATTGTGCGTAATGACGTTAGGCTCGCTGGTTGGCTGTGCGTGAAGACGCAAGGATGCGCGGTGACGTCGCGCGCGCTAATCGCGCGGCGCAGCTCACGCCCCCGTCTCTCTCACCAGGCCGGGCTTCCATGCGGCTTCGTTTTCAGGTTCGCTCCGCTCAGCATCCCGTAACGCGGCCCTCAACGCGACTCCAACCCTAACCTAGCCACAACAACCATGTCTCGCCGCACCCTAACTCTATCCTATCACCCTCCGCGAATGTATCGTGCCGCGTGGAGGCTGCGCGATCTGGATGAGGCACGTGGAGCGCGGACGAGAAGCCTCGCGGCCTAGGCCCCGCGTTGTCCTGGGGCCCCTCCGCCGCTACCACCCTATACCCCTCGCTCCTGCCGCACGAACCCGCGATGTGTAGGCGCTCGCGTCTCGGCTGCTGCTCGATGAGGCGCAGCCGCGAGTGGATTGTCGCTGGGTGATCCTGGCGCTCACAGTGAGAGCTGCAGCTCGCGCTGAACGTGCACGCCACGTTGTTGATGGCGGGCGACTTTATCTGTGCCGCAGGTTTCCCATCGTTGCTTTACTCGGGAAACGCGACACGATGTCCGGGGGCCTAGATGTGCTGGCCATGCGCGAGGAGGACGTGCTTAAGTTCCTTGCCGCCAACTCCCACCTTGGCACCACGAACTGTGACTTCCAGATGGAGCAGTACGTCTACAAGCGCAAGAACGACGGTACGGTGTCTCACCACGCATTGAAAATTAAGCTACTCTACCGAATGCCTGTTTTACAGACCAAGATTTGGAATTGAACATTACGGTAGTAACGCGGGTTACCTCCTTGCGTGGTTCAAAATTTCAGGAATCTTCATTTTGAACTTGAAGAAGACGTGGGAGAAGCTGCTTCTGGCGGCCAGGGCCATCGTGGCCATTGAGAACCCAGCGGACGTTTGCGTCATTTCTTCCCGCCCCTACGGCCAGGTGGGCTCGTGGCCTCGCGTGAAATGGCCAGACACTTGTTGGGACTCCTCAGTCATTCAGCTCGAGTTAGTCTTGAACGCGTTTCTGATGGATATAGATGAGATCCAAAGGCGCATTCATTCCCACTTGGCATGAAGCCGGCACACAGCTGGAGCTCTGCGCTGAGACCTTGGTCGATGAACGCGGAGCGTAGTCTGTGTGCAACAGCAATCTGCAGGGTTTTCGCTGACACCAGTAGGGCTCTTGTGCCCCCTGACTGGCCGTTGGTAGTAGGCCCTGCTACATTTGTAAGCCACCCAAACTTATTACTCTGTATGGTAGCTTGCATCCTTTTGCTGAATATGGAATGTTTCAAATCTTAAATTGATTGATCGAGCGAACTTGGTGTAAAACATTGTAAATGTTCAACTATTATGGGACACTTTCGCTTAACTGGGTCCTTAAGCTAAGTGAGGGCCCTTGTCTGATCCCTTGTACATTAGAGGCGGGAACACTGCATGCCTGGCTGGGAGAACTCGGCTCATGATATAGACTCCAGCTTGGCTTGTAAATAAAAGCCAGGCAAGTAATTGAGGAGCAAATAATAATAATAATATACAAGAATAACCGGGGTGAAAAATAGTTAAGTTTTACTTCACATTGTATGAGATTTGTTGATCTTTCCTATACTATGCACCCACGTTGTGTTTTTGTGTCGTAACGTTCTAACCCGCCTCCACTGGACATCTGAAAAATATCTCTATAACTCATTGAATTCTTCCAGTATAAATACATATTCTGGTTCTGAAATAGCTCCCTTTATAAATGATAGCATGAATATTAAATCTCCACACTAATTTGTATACAAAATCAACCATGTTCAATTTGGTCTTGCTATAATGATACCATAACTTAAACCAATTGGACAAGATTTTTTGCATATAAAATTCTAAATTGTTTAAGATCAAAGTTGATCTGTGCGACAGTCATGAGCCACTTTACTCAGATATGCAGTCCAATGAACATTGACGTTTTATATAATGTTTTAGTATAAAATTGCAGCCTTTTTGATAAAGTTGCTTTCATCTTGTGCTGCTCAGCGTGCAGTGCTGAAGTTTGCTTCTGCTACCGGAGCAACACCGATTGCTGGGCGCTTCACCCCCGGAACCTTCACCAACCAGATCCAGGCTGCGTTTCGTGAGCCACGCTTGCTCGTCGTGACCGACCCCCGGCAGGACCATCAGCCGCTCACGGAGGCTTCCTACGTTAACATCCCCTCCATTGCCATGTGCAACACTGACTCGCCCTTGCGCTACGTGGACATTGCTGTTCCCTGTAACAATAAGGTACAGCTGATGTCTCCTCCATCTCTTCTGCTTAAGCCCAAGCACATTTTTAATAGTTAAAAGCTCTCGAGCCCTTCCTCCCACGTGGTGTAAAGCCGGCACACAGCTGGAGCTCTGCGATGAGACCTTGGTCGATGAACGCGGAGCGTAGTCTGTGTGCAACAGCAATCTGCAGGGTTTTCGCTGACACCAGTAGGGCTCTTGTGCCCCCTGACTGGCCGTTGGTAGTAGGCCCTGCTACAATTTCGCAATAGATCATGTTAATTCCTATGGTTAAGGCTTTCAATAAAGTTAATTTACTCTTGGCAAACAGTCGAGTTAAAAAGCTTCAGTATAATTAAGACTATCAAATATAAGTACAAATGTAACTTTCTAAGGTATGGTGTTGAATGCAAACGAATTGCAATTTAAACGCAATTACTAATACATTTTGTCAGCGTACGTGAGGCTTTTTTGTCAAGCCGAGTTAAGAATAGTGTGGTCGCCACTTAACTGTCCCCTCTCCATCTCCACTGTTTCTTGTATCCCCTGTGCCCCTGATCTCCCCCTCTCCTCTGTCCCCTGTTATTGCACCCTGTCCCTTATTTCAGGGAGCTCACTCCATCGGCCTCATGTGGTGGATGTTGGCTCGTGAGGTGCTGCGTCTGCGTGGGACTATTGGACGGGAGCACCCCTGGGACATCATGCCTGATCTCTACTTCTACCGTGACCCCGAAGAGGTAAACCCAAAGCAAATCATCGAGGGCGACTCTCAGTACTCTATTCCTAATCACACTTGGAGGCTGGACTTGTACATTTTGTGCACGTGGCCAGTTCAGTCTAAATTGGCACCTTCAAATGGTGGTGCTTATACTGGACCAGTGAGTCTTTAAATATTGTTTTCCAGCGTCATTCCAAGTGTACACCCCCCTCCATGTTTGTTTACTTTCTAGCTTATATCTAATATTATTTGTCATTGACTACATTTATGCATTTTTCCAACTGATCTTCAGAACATTTTCTATGTCACTCTGAATAACTTTGGTGAGTGTCCTTACCTGACGACTGATTTGTTTTTTTAATTAATGCATCCTCTAGCTGTTCCATCATAGATTGCTTTTGTAACTGATAATTATTTGGTTTTTAATATTCTCGTTTCCACCTACTGAAATACATTTTCATGTACGAAAATCATGTGCAATGCTACGTGATAACATTTGTTTCTAGACTGATAACAGAAAGCAACATTGGTTTATCATTCTACTGTTAAGCCTCAGGTTTTAAATAATGTTTGGTTCTATATCCTGCTCAGCCTACCGAGGCGGAGATGATGTAGTATGTTGTCTTGTGGCCCTGACTCGTGATGTTTTCATTTGTAGATTGAGAAGGAGGAACAGGCTGCAGCAGAGAAGGCGGCCGTGAAGGAGCCGGAATACCAGGGCGAGTGGGCTGCTCAACCTACCGAGGCTCCTCCGCCACCTGAGGTTGCTGACTGGGCTGCCGAGGCGGTGCCGGTACCCTCCGTGCCCGTCACTGAGAATCCCACCAGTAAGTTTAAATTAAGAGGATGCACTCATCTTGGCTACAGAAAATGTGACACGGTGGAGTGTCCTATGGCGTCCATGTTGTAAGGGTGATGGACAGCTGTACACCATGGCCTCGTGTAACATGCTGCCTCTGTTTGTGTAGCTGCAGCAACTTGGGGCTTCCAGGCAACCATGGAGGACTGGACTGCAGCCCCCACAGCTCAAACCGAGGACTGGGGTGGAGCCACTGCCGATTGGTCTTAGGGACCACACCGTAGGCACGGGAATGCTGGGACAAATCTCCTGGCAGCCAGAACAATGGCCGCTTCTGCATCTATCCGTGTGGAGAAGGCGTTACTGTGGCACAATAAAAAAAAACAATTGTGATTTGTGGCTTTTTTGTTTTCATTTTACTTTACAATAACGTGTATAGAACTAAGACTTTTGCAGACTGCAACAAGCATGTGTTGATGAGTGCTCAACCCAAGTAAAAATAATCTCAATGACATGCAAGGCACACTTTACTATGTTGATGCGCAAATAGTGTGAGACGCACGTAACTGTTGAGGCACAGGTGCATGACTGCAGGTTGGAATGCTTGCAAATGTCTTAAAAACAGGAATGAGGCACTTGCCTGTTTTGGCTCAGCTCAGTTGAGCACTTTGCCGTATTGTTTGGGGAATTGGTAACATGGCTCCCTTGGTCACTTTGCTGCCTCAACCATTGCACACACACACTTAGGCAATGGATTTGTAACGTATCAAAATAATTCATCTCGATTATGGCAGTGCTTTTCAACCGATGTTCCACGGCGAAGTCTCGAGTATGCTGCGTATTTTTGGAATCTTGGGATAACCTTGGCAAGCTAAGGAGCCTTCCGTAAATTACGTCACGGACCGGGGGGGGGGGGGGGGAGAGTTTGAGAAATGTGACGTCACATCAAATGCGCATCTTTAAATAGACAACGCGTTCGACTCAAATACACTTTAATGTTTTCTTTTACAACTGCAGCGCCACATTAAATCTGGGGGGGCGGGGCAGCTTTGTGGCGTCATATTTGAGGAGGGGGGATTGTGTGACGTCATTTATGAAGGCAGTGGGCAATCCAGCCCCCACCTCTCACCATCCATTTGTCGTGTAACAGCAGCTAACGCTGCCATGCACATTTAACAAGCTCGAGATTCTAAATTTGAAGTGTTCGTGACTGCAATGATCCATACTCTGGTTCTTTCGGTAAAGTCACGTAGGTAAAAAATAAAGTTAATCAAATCACGACGTTTTGGGAGGCAACAAGCTTCCGTCGTCAGGTGTAACTAGCACAGCAAAATTACTGTAAAGAGCTATTTGTAATAAGAGACATAGGGTAAGAGGAGGGGGGGGGAGCCAGGGAGGAAGGATGCCGGGTGAGGGGGGGGTGTTGGGAGACGGGGATGGTAAAGCTCCGGATCCTGCACCACGGATGGGGGGGAGCGGCGCCGGGCGGGGGAGAGTGAGATGGGAGACAACTGCACGATTGAAACATTGCAAGTCAAATATACTAGTGATGGTCGTGTGTAAGGCTAGGAGTAAAAGACCGGAGATATGGATATGAATATAAACCCTAAGACAGTTAAAGCTCGAAATTGCCATGGAATTATTGTTTTGAGACGCGCCGGTGTGGTTGGCTAGCTTTTGAACACGATCCATTCAATCATTTCGGGACATCGGGCAGCAAAAGGAAGTTTGCTTCACATGCAAAATTTGCTCTTGAGGAAATGGTAGCAGCTGCAACATCCATGACGCTCAAATTGCAACTGTGCCATTCACCCCGGGCGATTCATTGGCCGGTGCAGTGCGAGTCGTGATAATCGCAATCAACAGATTCTGCGTGAGTGGGAGTTACAATGTCTCAAGAACACGTGTGTTTCCTTATTAGCCGTAATCTCTTATGATGGAATTGATACAATTGTAGCCTGCCGAACTTATGGCAAAGCTTGAGAACTTTGTGCACTTAGGCAACCAGAATATTTACAGCACGACAGCTGAGCGAAGTTGGAATTATGGAGAGGATGTTTGAATGTTCCTTTGTGAACTTTTAAACAAGCTTACGACTTTGTGACGAGGAAATCTATGGGAACTGCTAGGCCATTATTGCATATGGAACGGCTTTACCAAAGTCTGGGCGTTTTCAGACATTGAAAATTAATTTGATGATGTCATCCAAGCTCATAAACTTAGACCCTTAATTTAAAGATATTGAAATTATAGGGGGAAAACATGTACAGTATAACAATTGAATAAATACGTTGAAATTACATGAAAAATCGAAGAGTATCAATTCGAATGGAGGTCAAGTTGTGAGACGTGCTATTCTCAAGACGATTCACGGTGACTTTTCCGATTTGGATTGGAGAAACAATGGGAAAAATATAGATAACGTATTAAACATTTCAAATTCGCTCACAATATAGTTATTATAACAGTCAACGGAAAGGAGCTGAAAAAAAAGCGAACAAGTGGGTCAAAAGATAAATGTGAGCAAGTTTGGACAAAAAAGTTTATGTTGGACACAGTTATTAAGTGGATGTCTACATCTCGCGGAGTAGTCCGTGATCCGTTTTCATGAACAGTGCTGGGTTTGTGGCTTTGTGAACACGGATCATGGAGGCGCAGTGTCCCTGTCACGCCTGGAACGCTGAGCTTGTTTGCTGTCCTTGCCTGGCCCGGTTTGTTGTTCTGTATCTACATCAGCCATGCGAAAGAAGAAAACGCGGATCCTCTCGAGTGCGGAGGGGTTTGGGGCTCGGGAGAGAGGAAGCCCTTTGCTGTGAGAGCCCCGAGCTCGCTCAGCCTGTGGTGAGGCCGCCTCGAGTCGCAGTGCGGGGCTGGGACACCACCACTGCGTGTGGAGAGACGAGGCTGGCGACCTCGTGTCAGTTCCCGCGTTTTTTATTCACAATGCAACGGTGGTGAAAAAACTACCATTTTCCAAGCAACTGGAACATTTTAACTTTTCCAAGCAACTGGTATATTTTCTTGCACGACCTTGTGGTAACGCACAGGTCTTACGAAAAAAGAACGTAAGCTGTAAATCTATGTAAGAAGGAATACAAACCGAGTGGCCGGAAAATTGCCACAATATTACTAACAATATACCACAATTAAATAATGCTACACAACGCAATAGTACACCGACCTTCCCAAAACAAATAACTCAACAAAATAACACCAAACAATCAAATATCCCCAACACAATCACCATAACATCCACAAAACAATAACACCAACAATATAATTTTCAGCTGCCAAAACATGTTGAATTGGCATTGAGCAACACTCGTGTTTTGATTCCAGGATTTGGTTGAGCTTCGCAAGCGTTTTTGATGTCGAAATGCACACGCTGCATAAACGTCCGCATTTCTATATTTCATTTTAGAATTTGGTTCCCCAAAATCTTTATTTGTATCGTGGTGATGCACTATTTGGAACTTTACTTATATAAGAGCTAATACACTTAAATATGGAAGATTCATCTTGATGATGTTGGTGTTCATGATGATGAGAAAAAGCTGAAAATTTTAAAATATGTTTTAGCCCTCCAATTTTAAGGGGCACAATTTGGAACGTTAACACCACTATAAAATAGGTATTTAACGTCGAAATATTGTGCATGTACACAAATAGAGTCGGTGTGGCACTGATAACTAACAATTTTGACAGTAAAATTTTGGATTTTGGGTCTCACATTTTTTGTGGGGCACGATATGGAACAATTTTGTCCAAGCATTACTTTCTGAAAATGAGCATTCTTAATGTTCACAAATTTGAATCGATGTTTTAAAATCAATGATTAAATATTTTAAATGGAAAACATTACCAAGTAATTCTGTCACTATAACCCCGAGTAACTTAGTGCATGAACAGCTGAACGGTATACTAATCATATTGCACTCAAATGTAACATATTCCACAAGTACACATACTCGTATGTGTTACACAAACTCAGTAAATATTCAACGTAGGGGCAACATTTGCACGTAGCTGAAACAATTTGACCAACCTTGCCCCAAAGTTCTATGTTTACTGGGATACTATTTCAGTTTGTGTTGTACTCACAACCTTCGTTCAACATCGCATCAACATTATATTTCAACCGTGCCACCACGTTGCCGGACCGTCGTTATATTTTTGTTGCTCAACGCCACGACAGAAAACTCAACCAAAATTCAACACAACGGTAACAAATGCGCAACATAATAACGGCACAACAATAACAAACGACTGGGATTGTGCTAACAACTACGATACAAAAATGACAAGCGATGTGAGGGCGGGGGGATAAAAAAAAATCACAATCACAGTGGTACAACTATCACCGTGTTGCGTATAATGGCAATCATCAGCAGTGTCGGCGGTGACACCGTCGTGGTTGCAACATCGGCCTCTCGCCGCCCCTTCTCGCGTGGCTCCGCCAACTCCAGTAGACGAGCCACGCAATTTGAGCTGCAGAGAGAGCCCACCACCGTCTCACACAACTGGATGCTGTACCCCTTCCTCTACAGTAAAGCAGCCAGTTGTGAAGGCCGGCGGGGAGCGAGGTGCTGGGCCAGAGACGGCCTCTTCCTCCCCCCACAAGCGCCTCCATCGGCACCCCCGGATCCACCTTCACGGTGGTGCCCGAGTATGGAAGACGCGACTCCCGCCGAAGTGTAGCGATCCGTCACGGTACACCCCAACGATGCCTCACGGTACACACGTCATCTCGATGTAGCGGTCTCAACCTCCCTCGCTGCTATGTGCATCACGCACTGACATTCTGTTGTGCACGCGCTGTGCCCTCGCCAACACGTTTACCTTTGCAGGTCTCGAGCGCGCGATGTGAACCTGCCATACACGCACCGAACACTTACGAGACGAGGCAGTGCTTTCTCAGTTAACAAATTCTTCAATTTCTCTCACAGCAGGAGATCTTCTCGCGGGCTCAATTAGCCCGTGCCTCTTGGTTTTGTGCCTCATTCTCCGCCTGCACTGCAGGCAAGGAAAAGCGGACAACAACAATAACAACAATAACAACCACCAAGTAGGCAAGAGGCAGACGGTTCGTCAGGTAAGACAGGTAAGGAGGACAGGAGACAATCTCGGCGCTGTGCCGATGAACACGGTGACTTACAAGCTCGCGGTGGAGCTACCCAGTGCCAGTACTTAAGTGCGTCCCCGTGGCCTTATCAGCTCACGGTGGCCAATCACCTCGCACCCAGCCCGCACGACTTCCTCCCACACACCATCCATATCTGAGAGCAGATCTCTCTCCGTGAGCTCTATGGCGTTAACAGTGCACGCGGCATTAGTGATAAGGGCCACGTAGCTCGCGTCGTTGGTAAGTAACGTGTTGCTGCAGTGTAGTTTAA